GTGGTTCTGATCTTTCATTCTCAGTCTCCTTGGCTAGTACATCATACACTTCACACCCTTCACTGTTTTTTCCAGGGTTCTATCCCAGGTCCTCTTGTTTTCTCTTCTCTAGTCTATACTATCTCTCTTGCAGACCTCATCAGCTCCCAAGGTTATAATTATCACCCCTATGCAGATGACCCAGACTCTATTTACACAGACCCAATCTCTCCTCCAGACTTTAATTCCATTATCACCAATTGTCTTTTGGACATTTCAAACTGGATGTTCCAGAGATTTTTTAAAATCAGCATGTCCAAAACAGAGCTCATTATTTTTCCCTGCAGACCTACAGCTCTTTCAAACTTAGCTATTTCTGTTAAAAGCACCATCATCTTTCCAGTCTCAGGTTCATAATAAATCAGGTTTGTAACTTTGATATTATTCCTGACTCCTCATACTCCACACTCCATCTATCCAATCAGTTGCCAAATCTTGCAGTTTCTACCTCTAATTTGCAAGTAACCCCTTTTTTTCTGTTTCCAGAGCTACAATGTTAGAGTGCCCCTCACCACTTCTTATCTAGATCACTGTAACAACCTCCTGATTGGTTTCCATTTCAAGTCTTCCCCCACTGCAATCCATCCTCCCCACTCCTGTCAAAGTGATTTTCCTTAAACTCATATCTGAACCTGTGACTCTGCCAATCAATTAACTCAAGTGGCTTATTTCTTCTAGAATCAAATACAAACCCTTTGCTTAGCTTTTACAATCCTTCACAAACCTTGTGTTGACCTATTTTTCCATCTTCATCATACATTATACCTTTTAACTCTGCAATTCAGCCAAACTGGCCTCTCTTTTCCTCAAACAGTACTCCATATCCCATTTTCCACACCTTGAACAAGCTGTCCCTCCTGTCTGGAATGCATTCCCTCCTCACCTCTCCTTCATGGAATCGCTTATTCCGAGATGGCTCTGGAGAAGAAAGTGAGGCTGGTGACTTTGCACAGTCCTCTCTCACTTAAACCTAATTCATTTGATGTCATGGAATCATCTCCTTGATGTCATGGTCCTCTTTGAAAACAAAGGACAAACAATAACAACAACAATATTCTCTTCAAGATGAAGCTCAACAGGCAGATTTCAGAAAAACCTGGAAAGACTTACATGAACTGATGCTGAGTGAACTGAACAAAACCAGGAGAACATTGTACACAGTAACAGCAACACTGTGTGATGACCAACCTTGATAGACTTAGCTCTTCTCAGTAATGCAATGATCTAAGTCAATTCCAAAAGACTCATGATGGAAAATGCTATCCACATCCAGAGAAAGAACCATAGAATCTGAATACAGATTGAAGCATACTGTTTTCTCTTTTTTTTTTTTTGTTTCTCATGGTTTTCCCCTTTTGTTCTGACTCTTCTTTCATAACATGACTAATATGGAAATGTTTAAAAAAAAAAAAAAGATGAGGCTTAAGCATCACCAACTGAAGCCTTTCCTGATCTCAATAGCTGATGTCTCCCTCCTCCTCAAACTACCTCATATTTAACTACTTTGTATTTATTATATTAATACTTACATATGTTCTTATTGTCTCCTCTGTTAGAATGTAAGCTCCTTGAGAGTTTATGTTTCTGAGTCTTATAAACTTAAGTGGTTTTAAGATGTGTTGTTAACTATACTGTGGGGGTGGAATGTCAGATCCTGAAATCACTAGAGGAGCAATAAGCCAAAGAATTGAGAAATTACTTAAGATGTACGTACCAAGGCCTTTTGTGTCAGGAGGTGGCCTCTGATATAAGTTATATTAATAAATCTTACAGTATGGGATCACCAATGAAGAGGATTGTACTAGGTTCAAAGTAGAGAGAGGAAAACCAGATTTCTCCTTAACAATATCATTCATAATTGGAAGAGGTGAGATGCTGGTAAATGTTTAACAACTGGATCTCTAGGGGGGGAAAACATAGGCTGGACACACTTTTAAATTTAATCTGCATTATTAATATTTTCTCCATCACTTTCTTAAATCTAGACTCTAGACAATCAACAAAGCAATAAATCAAGCTCACATTGAAAATTTAACCATTGATAAGAAATGGCTCCAGAACACCACTGAAGGAAATTGCCTCATTATGAAACACAGAACCTAAGATGTTAAGTCATACCTCAGTGGGGATTGGCATATTCCAGATTGGAAAAAGACAATGACCAGCTTAGGAGGAGCTAAAAAGCAAAAAGGAGCTAGTGAATAGGAAGTCAACTTGAAACTATGGTAGGATAAAACTAGGAAGGATAAAGTGTCCATAATTGTTACCTAAAGAGTTGACAATCCTAGCAAGAATCCAGTTTTGATTTGCTAGATCGTAAACTAGAGCTATAAAGTGCCTTCATATCTACCAAAATCAAAGCCAAGAGGCAGGAGACAAACCAGTCGGGTGAGGTTTGTATTCCTAATAAAAGCAATCTATGTCTTTTTATTCAATTTATATTAAAATGCATATTAAATTCAACAGACATTTAGCACAGTATTATTTTAGGAACATTGCCTCAAGTCCTTAAATTTATTTAGAACATAATAGAAGATAATATGAAAATGCATAATGATTGACAGAAAAGGCCAGACTGGCTAATATCCAAAGTCCTTTCTGCTTTAAAAAAATGTTATATTTATTTTACTTCCATAGAATAAATATCCATGGTTTCACCCTCATACATGGAATCCTCTCACTCTTACCTCCATCTTTTATAATCCCTTCAAGGTCCAGTTCAATTATCACTTCCTCTAGGAAGAATTTCCTGATTTCCACTCGTTTGTCCCCATTTTCCTCCTTCCCTGAAATTGTGTGTGTGTGTGTGTAGCTCTAATGGTCTGATCAACCAAAGTCAGACACGCTGTACATTGACCCAACATAGTGATGTCATTTTGGTTCTCTTCGAGTATGAAGGGCAACAATAACCAACTTTGTCTGTAAACATGTTATATTCCTTCAATGTAAGCTCTTAGGCAGAGACTATTCCACTTTTTTATTAGTATATTCAATGTCTACCATAGTACCTGGTACATAGTAAGTGCTTAATAAATGCCATCTCACCATTTCCCAACCATCTCCAAATCAGGCCACCTGTATGCTGGCCTTCCTTGAACCTCTGCCCCTGGTACGTTAGACTCCAATAGGTAAGCTTTCACCTTATTTTTTCTGGAACCAGGCCACCACAACATATTTCAATCATCCTCAAACTATACTGCCTACATTCTGTTCTTTACTCCACTTTCTAATCTAGTTTCTCTATGCGTGTTGTCTTTCCCTTTTAGAAGGGCTGTTTTGCTTGTTTGTGTTTGTATTCCCCAGTGTTTAGCACAGCACCTGGCACATAGTAAGCACTTAATAAATTGCTTTCCTCACTCATTCACAGAGGCAGCTAGGTGGTGCTTCAGGTAGTGCATGGGCTTGGAGTCAAGAAGACCTATGCTCAAATTCAGCTTTAGACACTAGTTTACTTGCTAGTTTACATGTCACTTAACCTGTTTGCCTCAGTTTCCCTATCTGTAAAATGAGGATGACAATAACATTTACTTCCCAAGGTTGTTGTGAGGATCAAATGACATAAAAATTGCATAGCACTTAGGACAGTGTCTGACACTTAGTGTTACATAAATGTTAATTATTATTGTCATCATCATTCAAGCAGGAGATGAAATCATCTTTGGCTGGAATTCAGAGTACACAAAGAGAAATAATATGTAATAAGACTGGAAAGGTAGGTTATAGCCAGATTGTGAAGTGCCATAAATGCCAAGCTAAGATATTTTATAGCCAATAGGGAGCCACAGAAGGTTTTGGGGTTTTGTTTTTAGCAGGGAAAGGACAGGCCTGTACGTCAGGGTGCTGCATAAAAGACAGATTGACAAAGTGGGAGATTGGAGAAGAAGTTAGGAGACTGTCACAATAATCTGAGGGGGGGAAAAGTAATAAAAGCCTTAACTAAGGTCATAAGTGGAGAGAAGAAAATAAATGAGAAGTGGAATTTGAATTGATAAAACCAGACAATTGTTTGGATGTAGGTTGACAGATAAGAGACAAAAGTGACTTTGAGTTTAGGTTATTTTGATTTACTGGCTGTGATGGAGGTGGAGTTGGTAACTTGAGGAGAGAGGACTGGAATAGTTGCTATGATCTATGCATATTATTCTAATAGCAGTATGAGAGAGTTAAGAGATTTTCTCAGGGACCACTGCAATAATCCAGAGAGCTTGATAATGAGGTGAGATGTAAAGAAGGAAGAGGGGCTACAACTTGACAGTTGCTTGGACAGGAGGGGCGAAAGAGAAGAAGTTATAAAAAAGAACACCCAAATGTGGAAGAGTGGATGAATAGTGATACCAATGACAGGTATAGTGAAAAAGCAGGTTTAGGGAGAAACAAAAACTCCACTGAGTGAGGCATCCATGCTGGTAGAGCTGCCTTGAGATTCAGGTCTGACACTCAGAAGGAAGTCAGAACTAGAGATAAGAGATTTGGGAGTCATCTGCGTAAGTGGCAGTTAAACCTGTGGGAGTGAACGAACTGACCAAAAGGAGAAAGTGTAAGGAGCGAAAAAGGCCATTTTTTCCCAAGTGATTGAAAACTAAGATCCACAGAATCTCAGAGTGGAAAGGACCTTTGAGGTCATCTAGTCCAACTTTTAACTGAGAAGAAATTATTCCCTTAAAATAGCTATCATGTTCATATCTTCTTGAATAACTCCCAAGATGAGGTATCCGCTATCTCTGGAGGTAGTCAATTTTTTTTTCCGGATAGCCCTAATTATTAGGACTATTTTTCTCACTCAGATGCCTCTATTTAACGTTCCCCCCACCCCCCAACGCTCCTAGTTCAGTTCTCTGGGACTAAGGACAAGTACAAGTTGCAGAGACAGATTTAGGCTTGATGTCAAGGATGTCATCCGTAAAATGAACAGGAGAAGGAAAGGACAAAGCACTCCAGTATCCTTGCCCAGAAAACCCCAAATGGAGTTAGTTATCCCACAGGGTAACCTAAGGGAGCTCGGGTGAGGAGGAGCCTGCCCTCGAGCAGACCCTAGATGACCACTTGTCCCTGAGGTCCTATTATCTTTAAGGGGCACAGTTTGGGTCCAGTGGTCTCTGAGGTCCCTTCCAACATTAGATTTCTGCAGTACTGTGCCTGCCAAGCACACGAAGGTGGTGATCACGTCCCTGGCTTTCTCGCAAATTCTCTTGGAGCAAACCGTGGTGAATAATTCAGAGTGTGGAAAATTCAAGGCAGGACCCCACCCCGCAGGACGGTTTTTCTGGCAGGGGGCACGGCCACCGCACTGCGGGGAACTGAGCCTTTATGTCACCACAAAAATTGTGCAACCACGCGAGGCGGAGGTGGGACAGGTGTGGGATTTTGTCCCCCGACCACGGAGGGGGGAACACTGAAGGAAAGTCGGTTGAGCCGCGTATGTGTTTCCTTTGCTCCGGGCCAACTGTCACACCGTCGCTCGGAGCGACTTGGACGACCCTACCCACTCCCGTCCCACACGCTCTCGCCCACCAACGGAGCTGGCGCGTGCCCGCTCCCGCAAGCGTACGCCTGCGCGGCGGGCCCCTCCTCCCGCCCCTGCGGTGGCGTGCTCGCGCCCTCGCTTTCCTACACCAGGGAAACTTCCACCTAGACTCCCAAAGGTCAAAGGGGCGCGTGGCCCGGAGCCGGGGGAGGGGGGGGAAGAAGCGGGCGAGTCGGTCGCGCACGCGCGGTGGTGCGCCCCGGCGCGCGCTCCTCTGCCCCCTCTTCCCCTCCCCTCCCCGGGTTCCCAACCTCATTCGTTGGGTCCGAGGCAGACGAGGTGCGTGTGGGGTGTCTGCGTTTCTCCCCCAGCTGGGTGAGACTGACCGTTGGGAGCCTCCGTCCCCGGAGTCGCCGTCCTAGTCCGCTACCTCCCCTCCCTGGCTCTGCCCCAACAGACGATCCGGGAGCCGGGAGCCGGGGAGGGGAGGACAAGGAGGAGGAGCCCACCCTGAGCCCACCCCTTTCATCCAATTCCCTCTCTAAGCCTTAGAGCTGGAGCTGCGGAACCAGGAGGACCCGGGGACTCTGGACCCGGGGCGGGTCCAGGACCAGGAGGTTCCAAAGCAGCCGGCGATCTCAGCGAGGGAGCTGCAGCTGACCCTGCTGAAGATGTGGGCGGAGGGGCAGGACACCTGCATGTCCCTGGGGGTGATGCTCTGCGTGGTCCTGCTCACCAGCTTGGCGCGCGTCCTGGTCCGGAGGCACATCAGCTCCTCGTTCGTCCGCGTCTTTGCGGCGGAGCTGCTGGCCACCTTCCAGCTCTGCTGCTGTTCCCTGGAGCTCCAGGTGCTGAGCGACCTGGGGCCGGCCAACCCCAGCTGGACCCTGACCATGATCTACTTCCTCTCCCTCGTCCATGGCCTGACGCTGGTGGGCGCCATCAGCAACCCGTGCGGGGTCCTGGAGCAGCTGGCGCTGGAGCAGATGCCCCTGTGGTTGGGCTTCCTCAAGATCTTCGCGCAGATGCTCAGCTCGGGACTCAGCCGGACTTTCATGATCTGGGTCTGGAACCTGGGCATTTCCAAGAGCCACTTTGTCGAGAGGGCTCTGAAGTGTACCAACCCTATCCATCTCGCTCTGCCCGAGGCATTCCTCGTGGAGATGGTCTGCTCCTTCATCTTCCACAGTGCCGTGATGCATTTCCAGGAGGTCAGGCTCAAGTTTCGAATCCACATGCAGGCAGCACTCATCACGTTTTTGGTCTTTGCAGGTTTGTTTCGAGAGCGCCCACTAGGCATCCACTTCCACTCCTTTTTAACCATGCACTACCACCACTGTTCTAGCCATTTCTCAGTTGTTGTGGTGGTTTTTCTTTTTTTCTTTTTTTAATAATACTTTGCATTTCTGTAGTGCTTCTGAAGTTTACTAAGGACAGCTCTGTGAAGGAGGGATATCGCTGTGCAGTCGTGTTCCACTCTTGGTGACCCCCTTTGGGGTTTTCTTGGCAAAGATACTGAAGTGATTTGCCACTTCCTTCTCCAGCTCATTTTACAGATGAGGAAACTGAGGCAAACAGGGTTAAGTGGCTTGCCCAGGGTCACACAGCTAGTAAGTATATGAGGCTGGATTTGAACTTCGGAAAACGAGTCTTTCTGACTCTAAGCTGGGCACTCGATCCACTGTGCCACTTAGCTGCCCGTGACCGGGGGAGGGGGGGAGGGGGAGGAGGAGGAGGAGGGCGGAGAGAAGAGAGCTTCAGGATTATTACTACTCTCATTTCATGGAAGGAAAGTTAAGTGACTTGCTACCGTGGCAGAGTTTAAACTCTAATCCAGGCCGTAGGATCGAAGAGTTTGGAATTTGTAACAAACTGTTGAGATTATCTAGGACAACTCCCTAGTTTTACAGAAGAGGAAACCGAAGCGAGGTGGGGGAGGGAGATGACCTGACTGAGGTTAAAAAGATAGTAAGGAGTTGGGCTGGGATTTGAACCCAGACTGGTCTTCTGATTCCAAACCTTTTTTAGGGCAGTGGCTGCCGATTTCAGATAAATTTTTACATGGTATCCCATTGAAGGGACAGAGCTATAATAGCACTCAGTTCCTCCATTCCGGCTCTGAGTTCATTTTTCTGGCGTTTGCACACAAAAAAAGATCTATTTTATTTATTCATTTTTTTAAATAATGACAACCTGATGTTGGAACTGAGGGATGAGGTCCTGTAAGATTCTAGAGGGCAATCAATGCCTTGAGGAATGAGTGAGTTCGGTAAGATACTTCAGACGGCAGTGCCTGGAGAAAAGAAGGCTTGGGAGAATCACTTCTGATCTTCAAACATTTAAAGAGCTATCATGTGGAAGGGAGATTTAGATATGTTTATTCTATTTGGCTCCAGAGGACTTGTCTAGGTTCAGGGGTGAGAGCTATTTGAAAACGGACCATCTCAGTCAGTCATCAAGCATTTATTAAGTGCTTACTATGTGCCAGGCCCAAGTACTGGGGATACAAAGAAAGACAAAAACATGATCCCTGCTCTGAGGGAGCTCAGAGTGCAATGGGATCGACATTACAAATAATTACATACATACAAGATAGGCACGGTGTAAATAGAGGATGAACCACCTGCAGACAACACTCATCACATTTTTGGTCAGAGGGAAAGTACTAGGAGAGGAAGGTGTGAATTGGAAAAGCCTCCTGCAGAAGGTAGGTTTGGGGCTGAGTGTTGAAAGAAGCCAGGGAAACCAGGTTGCATAGATGGAGAGGGAGAATGTGTCAGGTATTGGGAACAGCCAATGGAAAAATTCAGTAAGAAGGCCAGGCTACTTGGACAGTAAAGGAGATGGAAGAGAGTAAAATGTAAGGTTACTGGAAAACTAGGAAGGGTCCAGGTTGTGAAGGGCTTTAAAGGTCAGACAGGATTTTAAATAGGTAATGATTGGACCCAATTGCTGGAGGAAGTAGCAGAATTTACTTATTACAGAACAGTCACTTCCATTTGAAGTTTTAAATGTATAGTGTTCTCATCCCTTATCCCTATACTCACTAAAAATTGATAAAAGGTCCAAAAATAACTAATGTAAATTTTATATAAAACTCTTAAAAATTCTGTCATTCTTATCACTAGTCTTTTCTAATACTTGGTTCCCATAGAAGTATAGTTCTGTTAGAATCCCCTGATACATCTTGGGATATTTTAAAATTCATTTACAAGTCATCTAAAAACAGTTTATAAATTTTAAAATGTACCTCAAATGGAAGTGACTTCTTTGAAAAAAAAAAAAACTGGTCCATTTGTTCATGATACAGCTTCACCAATCCCAAATGCAGCAGACCATCTTCTGTGAGGCAGAGGGATTTAAGGAACAGTGTTGAATGACATACTTTTGAAATTACTTTTGAAACACTTTTGAAATTTTAACAAAAAATTTAATGGAAATTGTTTGAAAATATTAAGAATACTAGATTTCATGGGGAGACAGGTATCTGTAGCCTATTATTTATATTTTAACTAATTCTTTAAAATTCATTTATAATATTTTATATGTATATTACCCTTGTTAAAGTAGAAAGTGAAACTATTGGTGGTACCAAATCCATTTAAAGACTCTCTCTTTGTAGTTTCCAAGTTATAGTTAAGATAATTGTTCACATTTTCATAGCATTTTATTGTTAACAGAGCACTTTCCTCCCAAATATCCTGTAAGTTGGGTCCTGCAAATATTATTCTCTCTACAGATGAGGAAATTGAGACTCAGAGAGGTCAAGACTTAGCCAAGGTCACACGGTTAGTAAGTGGTAGAACTGAGACCTTAATTCAGCAAATACATTGCTCTTTCCAGATAGGAAAAGGATCTTTACCTTCCTTTAAAATTTAAGTTGTATTGTATCTATGGCCTCCTCAGAAGAACTATTTATATAATCTATTCCTTAATGTTTCCTTTAGGGGTGGAGAAGAAAGGTGTCCAACAAGGGAAAGGGAGAGTACAAAAGTGTGTTGTGGGATTGGCAAGTTCATTGTTTTAAAGTTCTCGTCTTAGGTAAATAACATTCCCAAGGTCTTTCACAAAATAAGTTTTATCAAAAATAATTATAACAGGGTAATTATTTATAGACTGCTAGTGATTCCTTCATTTTACAGGCAAGCAAGGATTTTTTAAAATAGAGAAATGATCAAATTTGGAACTTAAGATTAAAACTGAGGAAACATGTTGAAGGAACTTCTGGCAACAGCACATTTTGGGCAGGGAGGGAAAGAACTCTCCTTCCTTCCTCCCACAGTAGAGGCCTTGAATAGAAGGCACGGCCCACTGGAGAACAGGAACCAGACGTCCCTCTTTGGGACCAGATCTAGATTGATAATTGCAGCATACAAGTGATAGATACTTAACATGTTGTGATTTCTTCTTTCGTTCCTTTCTTTTCTGTTAGAGTAATGAATACTAAGTTAAATTCTCCCCTTAGAAGTTGTAGAACTGAAAGATGAAAGCAACCTTAGAAGTCACTTGGGCCAACTGTTTGATTATACAGAGGAAACTAAGTCTCACAGGGCAAAGAGCTTGCTTCTTTCATACAGTTAGTAAAAGTGTCAGGGACAAGCCTTAGGTGTTGTGATCCCAAATCTATTTCTCTTTCTTTCCTGTATCATAAAGCCAGAGCTGTAACTAGAAAAAGGACTTTCTTCCAGAGCACTGAAATTTATGCACTGTTCAGCAGCTAGAAATAATTTGAACTTGTTACCTGGTTAGCAAGAATAGCATGATTAGCAGATATAATTCTAAATCAAATTGCTTACCTTCTCAGTGAGGGGGAAGGAGAGAATTTGGAACTCAAAACTTTAAAAAATGAATGCTAAAAATTTTTACATGTAATTGAAAAATGTATATTTTTCTGACAAAAAAAGAAGAGAGTGATTAGGTCTGGATCTGTGATTTTCAGATGAGGTAACTCCATCAATGTAGGTTGATACCTTTTCTGTAATTTAAAATGTTAGAGAATTGCCTGGAGCACTGAATATTAAATGACTTGCCCAGGATCATACAGCCAGTATGTGCTAGAGGCAGAAAGTGAACCCGGATGTTTCTTCTTCACAGCCAGCTTTCTGTCCACCACAACATGCAGACCTTCGTTACTAAGAATAGGTAAAATATGAAACTATGGACTGTACCATCTGCAAGTCACTATAGTAACTAATTCTCCCTCCTGTTCAACTGGCTTTGTCTTGATTGGATTAGCATCACATTATGAATTACGAAGTTGATTGGAAGGCTCATTTTACATTGTTTGCCACCGGCACCTAAGTTACTATTTGCAACTCTGCATAAAGCATCTGTGGAAATTGCATGGACATTCATCCAGAATCATTAAGTCTCTTGAGTTGAAAGGAAACTTCAAGGTTCACCTAGTCCAAGGGTGGGGAACCTGAGGCCACATGTGGCCTTCTAGGTCCTCAAGTGCAGCCCTTCGACCGAATCCAAACTTCTGTGAAGTTTGGATTCGGTCGAAGGGCTGCACTTGAGGACCTAGAGTGCCACAGGTTCTCTGCCTCTGATTCTAGTCCAACCAGTCCCTGAGTAGGAATTCTCTGTACAATCCCTCTGCTGCTCCTCCGCTCCTAAAGAACTAACCAATTTGGAGGCAGCATTTCCGGTGCTCCCATCATCAGGAAGTTTTCCATGAGATTGAACCAAAATCTGTGTCTCTGTAACTGCTCTCCTAGTTCTCGATCAAGATAAGTTTATTCTTTTGACCATGCGATAACATTTCAGCTCCTTGTTGCACAGCTTGAATGTATTTGTGTCACTCCCCCTCGCCCCCTTCTTCCCTATTAAATTCTTTTCTTTCCTGAAAGAAATTCCTCCAGCTGAGCCTCCTGTGGTATGGTATTCACTTTCCTTAGCACCTTGCAGGATATCATGGATTGAGTCCAATCTCCCCAGGGCCCACAGAGTTAGTGCAGTAGTACAAAAAAGAAAACTAGGAATGGAGTCACAGAATCCACCCCAACCCGGGCCTTTTTTTTTTTTTTTTGGCTCCCCTGAATAGTGTTGCCAATAGATAATGAAGTAAGATTTTTTTCATCTTGTATATACATGTTACCCTTGGGCAAAAATCATGAAACACGAGATGAGAAGGTGTGGATGGGAGGTGATTTGTACCTAAACCGAGCAACTATACCACTGTATAAAAGAACAGTATGATTTAATAAATTTTATCTTCACTCTACAAAACCAGTAAAACCAATTAATACAGGCCATTCTCTTGATTTGGG